CACCACTGTCACCTCAAAGCCACCAATGCCACTGTCCCCCCAAAATCAGCGTTGCCACTGTCACCTCACCACTGTCACCCCAAAACCAGTGCCACCACTGTCACCTCACCACTGTCACCTCAAAGCCAGCTCCGCCACTGCCACCCAGCCCAAGGGACCCCAAACCCAGTTTCAGCGCACCCCACAGGGCTGTGACCCCCCCCGGGGTTATCTCGATCCAAACGCTTACACCACGGAATGAAAAATCCGGGAATTTTGGGATCCATGAGGCTGGAAAAACCCTCCGAGCATTCCCCCAGCGCTGAAGTGTCACCTCTCACCCGTGTCCCCAAGTGCCACCTCCACCTTTAACCCCGTGCAGGGACGGTGACTCCTCCCCTCCCTGGGCAGCTCTTCCAACCTTTTCCCTGAAGAAATCGTCCCTAAAATCCAATTTAAACTTCCCCTGGCGCTTTTCCTGCCATCCTAAACCCTCCAGGACACTCACACCGCGCTGTCCTGTCCCTCTGGAAGGCCTCACCCACCTCGGCACTTCCAACTTTTCCCAATTTCCCTCTTTTTATTTATTTTATTTTTTTCCCAGCCCTGGGAAGAAGCTTGGAAAATTTCAATCTTATTTCTGCCTCCCCCATCCCCGACGTTTCTCTCTTCTGGCGTCCCAAAGGTTCTCACTCAGGTGGCTTCAGGTGAGAAGAGTTGGGAATTCAGGAACGCTCACACCCCTTTGCATTTTCCCGATTTTTCACGCTGGGGAAACTGAGGCACGGAGGGAACAGCGACAGGAGCGCTCGCAATTCCCAGCCGAGGAGTGGAGAAATTCCAGAGCCTTGAGCTCCTGTTTGGAGCCTCTCCAGGCTCCCCAGCAGCCGCTGCCGTGAGTCACAGCTGGCACAGGCGGCACTCACGACACCAGGAACATTCCCAAAAAATTCCTTCTCCTCGCAGCTGAGCGCTCTGGGCCGGTTCCCGCATCCCACAAAAACCGCGGGGGATTTTTTTCTTTTTTTCCTCCCTTCTCTCCCTCTCTTTTTTGGGGCCGGGGGAATTTTTCCCCCGCTCGTTTGGGAGCTGTTAATGTCCAGGGATATCCACGCGAGGTGGATCCTGCCCGTGGGAGAGGCGGGAATTGGTCCGGGAAAAAAATGGGGGAAAAAAAAGCTTGGACAGGGACAGGGACAGGGACAGGGACAGGGACAGGGACAGGGACAGGGACAGGGACAGGGACAGGGATAGGACAGGGACAGGGA